AAAAATAATAATTATATCAAGCAAAAAAACACTGAAATTTAATTACAATATAATAAAATATAAACAACAATTAAAAAATTGAACAATAAAAAAGAAATGAAAATTAAAAGATTTCAAGCCAAGTTACTTCACGACGTTTCGATTGTAAGTATCCACAATCGTCTTCTGGTGATTTGGAAGGCAAACTCCTATGGAGACCATCGTCTTTAGGGTCTTCACGTCGAGTTGTTACAGTTCCTTCTAAATCCACTTCACTACTCGAAAGTATTAGAGTAAGATCGGAACGAAAAGCATATTCATGTCAGTAACTTTGTTCTTCTCCGACATCTGTATCTGTAGAGTAGGGAGGGTGAGTGTAAGCCCATGGCACTTAGACTACAGGTGACCCATTGTACATCCATCGTCCAGCCTGTCTTTACAGGAAGGTGGTCAGGAACCGTTAAGGCCGAGAGTTTCTTCTTCTGATTCGGAAAACGTTGAAGAGCGATTAAGAAGGAGTTGTTGATTTGCCAGATGGCAGCCTCTACTTTTTAAAAACATCATGAAACTTTGCACTCAAATGATCTAGTTTTTGTGGTTTCAGAAGACTAATTCGGTGGAGCGCACTTTGTGTCACCCTTATTATTATAATTTTTATCATTATTATTATCAGGCGTATATTTATTAATCTCAACCAGCCTGATTCCTTCATCTTTGAGCGAAGGTAATGTTTGCGAATTTACAAGAGAATCTCAGAATTTGATTCTGGACGCAACTAGATTTCGGTTGCTTCAACCTGACGCAATGCGAGTCTTTGGCATGTTCATATTAGTTGTTAATGGATCTCGATTAGTCAGTTTGACACTATTTTAAATGTTCCACACCCAGTTCTCCAAAGAAATTTCTGGTTATCAATGGTGATTCCGAAGTCAGAATCATTTTGAAGTTTACAAAATGAAATTGGATTTTGTACTGGAGGTTATTCGTGGTGAAACTATCAATTTTCTATATTATTATAAAAATTTCATATATACAGGCTGAAACATATTTCAAGTAGGTTTAATGTGTGCAAACAATTTTTTTATTTGTATCTCTATGTATCCCTTGTTATATTTTCATGTGTTACTTTATTTATTCACATTTTCGAACTTTTCTAATATAAGTAGTTTACATTGTATACAGGGTGTTTATTAAACATGCGGCAAAAATTTAAGGGACTATTCCTTGGACTATTCTAAGGATATTTTGTCCGTTAATGATTTTCGAGGGGGCTTTGTTTCGAAGATACGGAGCGAAAAAAAATTTAGACAATAACAATTCATTACCAAAAATTACATGTAAAGTTTCTTAATCTACAACAACTGTTGAAAATGACTACCCCC